ATCGAGTCAGTAACCACAACGAGCCTGCGAGGCCATCCACTCTGGCTACGTGTGACCGGTGCAAGACTGAAAACACTGGAGTTCTTCCCCAACAGTGGTTTAGACTTGGAATGCTCTGCTTGCAGATATCGTTGTGTCCACTTCCGTTGAGGCCTAACATGAAGCTGGGTCAGTATACAATTACACATCGTAATGCCGCCTGACCAAGGTCGTGCTGGCTTTCCGCGCTAACAAGTACCGTCATAATGCTACTGTCTATGTTTCAGTAACGTTTAGCTTTGAGTTTTTTATTATCCCGAACTTTTTGCAAATCCGTTCGACCGACCTGACCGACGATGTCCACCGTGTGCTTCACAGCAGGGTGAGAGCAGATACTGTGACTTGCGCGTGGTTTCTTTTGTAGTGATAGGAGACTTTCACAGCATCTACCGCACTCCCTCACATGGACCCGGTGTCAAGACAGAGTCAAGAAAACTGTAGGCGGGAAAGGGCGCAAGCAGTTGGCACGGCGAAAACCCGTACCTTATCTCCACACCCCCTGGTCCACAACGTACACTGACCAGGATTTTACAAAACAGAAAGAGGACGACACGGGACGCGTCACCACACCTCTGATGCTCGCATTTGTTGTGGGTGCGCAGTCCCGATAACGCCTGCCGGATCCCGATCTAGCCCATGTGCTGGTGGGTCTTGATTAGCCAGGTGTTCACCCACCCAACTCAATCACAGTCGTGAAAAGCTGCCACAAATGCATTGATTTTTAATGAATGCATGGGACGGCACTTCTTAAAAACGTAAAAAAGATGTTCTATCATTTCTTATGAAATTACGTATTCGAAGTTCGCTACTCGGTTGTAACCCTTTCGTAAATTCGGTTATTATTAAGAATATGGTATGAATATTCAGATAGTCCGGTGTATCTACGGTTATCAATGCGACTTACGAAATGTACAGTATGACCCATATCCTTTTTAACATTTTAAGAACGCCAAAAGGCCATTTCTATGGGATCGAAGATTGGTCAGGCCTTATGTAAGAAAGATGGCATGACATGCATTCTAGAAACTGAAAGTCCAAGCGCAGATAAGAACTATTTAGAAGTATGTGGGAACTGTTGTGTGTCCTTAAAATTAAAAGGCATTCTTTCGTATACCAAACTTGGATACGTACTTCTCCACAAAATCAGCGTAAGGGATGCAACTTTTGTGCGTCCTTTAGAGGAAATATGAGCAAATTTATAGAAATATCGAAAATTAGTGGAAACGGACGCTGCTTAGATGGAGATCTCCTCGAGAATCTGGCAGGAACGATAGTTAACCAGAAGTCGACATCCAAACCCATGCTAATTCTAGAACGTGTTACATGCCAATCATCACTGCTAACTCAGTTAATCCACCTTTATTATTCGAAAGTACGTTCTGAAGCTTCAGCTACGGTTTCGTGATTTTCTACCACTATCATACGCTTCCTTCTGTGCTGACTTTCAGTACAGGTTTGAGACTCGATGTGGCTGGGAAGATATGCATTTATTATACTTAAACATATGTACTAGCTAGAAGCCCAGACACGTGTTTCGACCAAATTCTGCTGCTGTAGTAACTAACTGTTACGACTTCGAATAGTCGGGGACGTCAGACTAGGAACCAAGTGACGAGCGCTGAAATCCCAGTGACCAGCCAAGCCCCAGCAAAACGCGTGCCTGGGTTTCTAGATAGTGCTTGTGTTAAGATTTGGTGAAAACAGTCCGGTAACAAATGGGAGATGGCACCCAAAACCTCCGTTACCCCGAAATAATACCTACTCTATCTATTTGAGTAGGTTATCGCCCTACATATTTGTTGTTTCGTCCTTACATGGCTTGCGAGTGACAGTAGTAGCTTTCATCTCACCTGCAGTCTAAATGTTGCTTCACATGAGATGCGACCGCTGAAAACCTAGTCATAGTTAATTAACCATCAGCAAGTCCTATGCGCATCAAACACACTGCTTACCGCAACCTTATAGATACTGACAATACGATTATTTCGTTGAAGGTTGCGATATAAAAATCAAATATTTCAATAAAACGTTGAACCGGACCTAACACGTCCGGTTCAAACAACTTTATTTTAACTTTGACGAGACGCAAATCGAAGTCGTAGAACGCAACATTTGCATACAAAATATCCACTGCTAAAAGAGCATGTGTAGGGTACATGCAGATTTCGCTCGAGCGAGCAGTGTTAGACTCGAGTAGTTAAATAAGCGTTTCAGACACACGTCAAGCGCCATGAAATATGTCAATCAGTATATAGTCTCAAAGCGACATGGCCCTGGCAGCCCGGGGGGCAGTAATTTCTACGAGACCCTCATAAGTGGATTTTTCCAAAGCCTTCTTGAGTCTTTTTCTTCTGTAGCTGTTTGGTGTTTCCATTTCCAACTTTTTGACACTTCCCCTACTTGTAACAGATAGGGAGCTCAATGCTACCACGCGCATTTCCTTAAAATAAACTGAACTGAACAGAGACTCGGTTCTATGCACTGTGAGTTAAGTCACAACGGCTCAGTCCTGAAGTGGCCTTACAACAAATCACCGGTTCGAGATCTGAGTTAATTAGGCCGGCATGAAGTAAAGTGGATGAGCATCACGTGTGGCACGCAAGAGAGTCCACAGTCGTCTCCATCGCCTCAGCCCCTTCTTGAACTCGGAGAGCAGTATGTAAAACAAAAGGCGGGGTCGGTGTTTTGTACGTCCTTCCGTGAAATGGACCCCTGGTCCTCGTAGTAGAGATGGCCCTCGTCAAATTTGACAGGCGAATTAGGAATACACTCCTGCGGGGTATTTCCTAAACGAATGCGCACAAAACTGCCACGGCGGTCTTCTTGGTTGACGCGTCGTCTTTCTATCATATGTCCGGTGAGTTTGGCGTAAAACCCCTGGCGCTCACGCTGTGCTGATAATCCCCGAGTCAAAGATACTCGAGCTCCCCTCCCATTTGCAGACTACTCTTACTCTCTTCACAAGGTAGACACTTCACGCTAATTAAAAACGATTGAAGTAAGTAAAGCAAGCTAGATGTTGCTCGGCCAGCAATGGCTCCGGTCTGGTGCGCAATCGATGAGATATGACCGTCGTGCCCTGCTTACCACATTCATGGCAATGTACGTCAATAACTGCGCACCCAGAACTCTTCATTTTTCCTAGGAGAAACAGAACGTGCCGCCAAATCAACCGTTTCACTGATCTTCATGATAAGTTACCTCTCGAGAGGTAAGCCACCTCCTAGGGGTCGACTTTAGTTCGAAAATAAGGTTCTTTTTGCTTCCAGTACTACGCATCGTACTTGACCTCCGGGTAGGTTTGGGTAACTCGTAAATCTTCGTACCCGGGCAATGCCCTACTTTAGTTGATTTAACAACAGACCTCCACACGCGTGTTTGCTCTCGGTTTCTTTTTCACGTCTCTACCAGATAGGAGAACGTACACCAGCAAATATTCCCCCCCCCGCCATGGTTATAAAGTTTCTCTTGTTTCTTGAAATCTGCGCAGCTATGAACGATAATAACTACCCGAAGCAGGGACTACTCACGCAGTCCGCATTGTTATACGTCCAGCCTACGCTTAGGCAGGATATCAAGCACATCCTGGTCCTCAAACTCCCACGAAACCCAAGCCGGGACGATTATCGGTTGTGCAAATGTGGGATTGACGAGACTGTGAAAGTCCTTCCACGAGATAGCCAGGTAGTCTCTCCAAAATATAGTCACTGCGTCTCTGGGCTAAGGATAGGCTGCTGGGCGCGCGACCCTCCGTACATTGACATATGAACAACACCTTAGATGCTTTTCCAAGCAGGTAATTATCGAACTCAGTGAAAAATACGCGCACCTAACGGTGGTAGTTTGCAAAATCTCCTCCCGCAATCCATCATTAACGGACCCCTAAGGTGCAAAGAGTAGGAAATACAAGATAGACGGATTAACTATTTGTCACTTTTTCCCAATTTCTGACACGCCTAAACACCAATAAAAAGTAATTATACTACGGGTATACAACAAGACCAACGGCATACCAGCTACAAGTTCGATTCTGTGAATTAATAAAGCAGCCTGAGTTGCGTGGTCACATCCTCGTACGTAGGGTGTAGCGGGCAGCCATCATGACAGGTCTGGGGTCATTGTTCAAGACCTCGCAGCCCAAGGTCATTCACCCTTTGCAGTGAGCCACTCCAGACGCGCTGACCTGAAGTCACACGACCGACAGCTCGGGCATACCTGCGCCCGCACAGCCGCAGCTGCCCATGAGGCCACTTGAACGCACCTCCCCCTGCAACCACAACCTAAGCCACTGGGGCATCACCTCCTGGCAAATGGAACAAACACTGGACACCACTTGAGCTTGGCCCACAAGCCTACAAAAGTGGCTGCACCCAACGCTCCACGGACCCTCAGGCCTGACTGGACGCGGTTAACACCAGTCCTGGCTTCGCCAGTGACCACTGCCGCCTGATAGGACAACTCCGGGTTCTGTATACATTAAACCCCTCATTCTGGTGCCATCTTTCTTCTCCTACAACTTGGGATCTGACCTGACGGTGGTACTAGTGCACAGACTACACCCACACTCCATTTTACATGGCCGCTACAAGAGAGACTAAACCAGAACTGAAATATTAGTTTAATCTCCTGCCGAACGCAATCCTTCTAAGACAGAACTAGTCATAAAGGCAAATTTGTCAACAGAAGGCGTAGTTGGAGAGACACTTGTTTGTCTATGTGCATGGTGTGTAGGTAATTACCATGAGCTCAATTAACGGCGAGCTGCATGAAGCTGTTCGCTCATAGGCGCAGGATGTCCGCCATTCGCGTATTTTCAGTAAAAAGTGAAGGCACAGAACTAGTGAAACTCAGGAAGCATACACTCACGTAGTATCAGTCATGTGCTTGTGTGGTGGTGCTAGGGGGAGGAGGAGGAGGAGGAGGAGGAGGAGGAGGAGAAGGAGGAGGAGGAGGACGAGGGATTAGCTCACACCAACAGGGGGTAAGAGAAGCACCTCGTGCTGACAACGAAGCAGGGCGGGTGACGCACATGTAGACGAATAGTGGGAACAGGTCGATCGGCGGTGAAAGAGGACCTCAATAGCGAAATCATCGCACAGGGAACTGTTTGCGATAGATGCTTGCCCGCACATAAAATGCGGATGACTGTTGATGTCGCCGCTGTCGCAACCGGCAACAGCTGACAACTGCAAGGTCCCTGGGCGAGCAGAGGTGGTCAGCTGGTCAAAATCGTTGCTCGAATGAGAGGGCGAGTCGGTGACGATGATAGAGCTTGGCGGTTGCGAAACTGCCAGGAAGGCAGCTGCAAAGACGGTTACAGCCTGAATGGGAGGGAAAAACAGCTTCTGAATGAAGGGCCACCATACGGAAATAAAGTACGGTGCTACATGACGGTCATCATTATAAAACGATTGTTTGGCAGGATGATAGTTGCTGCTCTTTCAAAGGACACCCAATAAACTCAGACAGGTAGTTCTGCTCTATAACCCTTTCGACAACTGTGAAGGAGGTCGACTAGGACTGGCATTGTGATAGACTCAACGGGGCAGCTGAAATAACGCTTAGGCACAACATAACTAACTTGTGCCTACAACGGATGGAACTAGACGATAAGGTCGTAGTTGCGGCTGAAACGGATACTTCTGGCTGATTGATAGCATCACTGGCATTTATACTACCCGTCTGTGTAATAAAGTTTATGTTATCAATTAAATCAATGCTCAAGACTGCTGACGACAATGCCCGTATGCGTATTCGTAGTCATAGCGCCACAGTGTTGCTATGCTGATCAAAGTGGCTTCGACGAAAACTCATAAACTAGCAGGGTTTGGCAGTCACTGTCGACATCCAATTGGACTAAAACTGGGGGATACTAACAGAAGAACGCAGTGTTAAGACAATTATTTTGATATAGAGAAATTTCATATTGACCCAACTGTAAAAACTCGGCGCCTAGGTAAGATTCGAATCCACGCAGTACCCGCCAACATTCCAACCACTTGAGCTACGCGGCCCCGCCGGACGACGCGAGTTTAATCACATTTCGGTCAAGTTACCCGTCCAACCTACTGAAACGTCTGGAATCCACCAAATATGATGCAGTAAGTTGACTGTCCAGGCAGGATTTCCTAAGTAATTCACCTAGAATCCACCAGATGACTATCAGGCTTACGTAATTCATAGATGTAGGAATTGTAAAATATGAATTATTCCAAATCTGCCAAAACATCTAGGAATTCCGTAAGCCTGGTGGTCATCTGGTGGATTCTAGGTGAATTACTTAAGAAATCCTGCCTGGGTAGTCAACTTACTGTATCCGATTTGGTGGACTCCAGACGTTGCAGTATGTTGGACGGGTAAAGTGACCCAAATGTGATTAAACTCGCGTCGTCCGACGGGGCCGCGTAGCTCAAGTGGTTAATGTTGGTTGCACTAAAGCCTTCCCCTTACTGCATGGATTCGAATTCCATCGAGGCGCCGAGTTTTTCACAGTTGGGTCAGTACGAATTATTCGAAATCCGCCAAAACATCTATGAAGAGAGAAATTTATTTAACATCTCACCTTTGCCAGAGGCCACCTGGGGTTAGGTCCACTGGGAAAATGACAGTTAGCGCCCATCCTCGACTTTGTGCAAGCTTCTGGAATACCCGTCAATCCGGCACTGCGACTCTCATGGACAATCGGAGGTCGGTTAGTCGAATGCGTCTGGCAAGATTTTACTGGCAAGTACCGGGCCACAAACGCTGCGAACTCTGTCTTTGACACAAAGAGGCACCAATCAAGCGAGTATAGGAATCGAACTTCCAAGCGATTTAGGGACTTCAGTTCGATGTTAAACTCCGCCGCCCAGTCGAAGTTGCAGAATGCTTCCTCAGTATCAGTATCATGAAGGTACTTGGAAGCTACCATCTGAAACGAGAAGCACGAATTTTTGAAGGCCAAACTTTTGCAAAGAAAAGCTCCTTAACCTGAGGTTGCATGTCTGACAAGAGTGGTGTAAGCTTCACAAATTGAGGTAGGCTGGAGATCGAATTCCTGTTGACGTTCTAACCCGTGATCAGGAAAAATAACTTCCAAGTCATCTTTGATATAGATCAGTCAATAGCTAGAATACGACGCCACGAAGTTTTAGATATGATGTTAATTTCACAGAGCAGGCTGCTGAGACCTGTGGTAAATGAGATCCCAATGTCTAGGTCCCATAATCTTCGGAAAATTTACCTACCGGGCATAAATGTTCACAGAAAACTTCAGCGGCTAATTAAAGCACTGCAAATACAGCCGTCATTAGGCGTCCTAATCCAACCTTGTCATTATGTGGGCCTCTCCTCGCGTCTTTTCAGCGAACGAAATAGCAGGGGACAACTTTCTCACGCTCCGAAAAATGTGGAATTCTTTCTCTTTCAGTAAACAGCCAGACAGTACCACCGTCCGAAGTAAAATGTCGCGTCTTGAGCTGAAAAGCTTACTAAATGACAGATGCCTGACAGCTAACCGATAATTGTGACGAGGCAAAGTGGCGTGGTCTACATCAAACACGCTGAACGGGCAACCAGGCAGGATGCTCCATTATTTTTGTTAAAAGTTCAAAGTCTGGTTTAAAATTAAAAAACACGAACCGTTGCGACGATGAGAAGTTCTGTTGCAGTAATCTCCGAAAAAAGTCGTGGTTTTGGGTTCAGATTTTTACATTTCTCAACGAAGATTAGAGCTGTCACTAGAGTCGCCGGCGAGACTTTACTGCATCTGCAGAAATAAAGGTTTGGGTATACAGTAATATCACCTTATAAATTCTGAGAGTGAGTATAAATCCAAGGCTCCAAGTTGCCGCTTGGTTGCCGAGTTCACGAGGCTGAGTATTGTATCTAGAAAGGTAAACAATAAAGGTAATTTTGTGCTAGAAATTGGACTTTTCGTGGAGACCCTGGATTATCGATCCAGTGCTTGCAGGTCCAACCGAATGTATGCTGTTCGAAGCGATGACCCTTAGTACCAAAAAACCGAACGTTTCCAATCGATTCAGAAAGTAGGTCATCATTCGCAGTTCGGAGCGGCCACCAAGTGCTAAATTTACAAATCGCGTGGGATTAAAACTACGACACGACGTGATAACGCATAGGATAATGGTCTGGACACTCGCAATTCCAGTTTTCCCGACCTTATCTGTCCAGTTCAACCTCCTTTTACTGACGCCACGATTGACAGTTATCTGGTCAAGGCGTCGCTTATATTGTCAACCCAGTTGTCCCACCAGCTAACTGATCAGCGAATACTGATCGGCACAAGCAATTGTTGCAGAAAATTACGGCAGATCTCGGTCCTCTCGAACTGACATCTCACTGCAGACTTATTTGCAGTTAGTTGTTAAGAAACAGATTCTTATGCTGATGTCAACTGTTATATGAGATGCATTGTTAAGGGCCGATTGTCCGTCGCGCCGCGGCTGTTCTGCCAATAATAAGAAATGTACGTCCCGTTTCAATACAGACACCCCTATTTTCCATGACCCCCTTGTCACTTGACGAGAAGGCGGTGTGCGCTGCAACTTCTGATGCAGTCGAGTGAAGTTCAACTGACGCAGACAACATCAGTCTCACGGAAACATAACGTTTTTGCCACAGCTATGGCGGCTCAGGCTTCCTGTTAATGTGACCCCAAGGCATTTTCGCGTGGAGAGGGTCCTCACTGGACCACAAATCCCGCACTCGTTGCTCCGGTGGCACAGATACCGCAAAAGTAGTGTGACAACCTTCGTGAGGTATTCAAATCAACGAACTAATCGAGATGGTTTCCTTTGACCAAGGTAATAAGGTCGCTCTGCTTGCCTTGGGGTTGTCCAGCCAACTTACTACCCATAGTCAAGTTAAGAGACCCCTAGAAAACCGTTTTCAAACTGCGTAACCAGTGGCACCACATATCCATACAGATTTAAACGCGCTTTTTCAGGGAGATTGTTAATATTCCTAGGGGTTGCCACTTTGGGCAATTCCGTAATTCGGATGCGGACCGACGCTCACTGTGCTTTGCCATGTGGCCTAGGTAAAAAAGGAAGAGACAGTATATCATCAGTTTTTAAGGCTTTTTCTCAGCGAGGATATGGTGACGTCTTGCAAGTTGCACTCTGCCTCTGCCTCCATTATGAGTCCAATCAGGCGGGCACTTGCGCTGCCGGGCAGCATCCGACTCCCATCACCGACAACTCGTACGTTATGGGGTTGGTAGACTATTTCGCGATAGACCGCGGCCGTGCCACTAGATCTGCAGTGCTGCAACAGTTGCTATGGTCCCGAGCCATAAATTGGTCTCCCCGTTTGCCGTACCCTTTTGTTCGCATTCTGCCCGTGTCACAAAGCTCGAGGGCGGGTCGGGTTGGAACTCCTACGGTCTCACCGCGATGTGCAATGGAGGAACCGCATGGACACACTCAAAAGGAAATAGGCAAGTCAAACAGACGGATCCTACTTTCAACAACCTCTTGAAGGGCTTCACAAAAGACCGCAATCGAATAATTGGCATGCTCGGCTGTCTTAAGCTACGATGACCAAGGCATGATTCGTTTATTTACGAGACACACCTCTTCTCATGGCCACTAGTCCGGGATCTCAGCCTTACATTGAATTCTAGGTTTCCCTTCCGAAGTCAGGGACGTATGGTCAGACAACTACTTCTTTGAGCTGCGGAGATTTCCGTGACTGGCGCACAACCTATCGAGCGCTCACTTACTATAGCTTACGACCAGCAGGCTTACGGAACACCTAATCAGCCAGGTGACTTATTGTCACCCCTACTCTCCTTTAAAAGATCTTCTCATCCCTGGGAAAGAATGCTGGTGGTTGTTGATACTACCCAACTAACTGTCTGAGTTATCGAGAACGTCGAAATGCCTAACAGCCCGATTTTTGCCGCCTATTCTGGCAAGTTAAAGCTCTTTCTGGAACGTCTGCCCACCGCTATCGCGAACAACATGTCGACCATGCTGCCCGGCTCGTTGTGGATCCCTTCAACAAAGTTGCGATAGGTAGCACTAATGCTCATTGATATTGGCCCTGCGCATAGGGTTAATTCTAAATGGGCAGAAGGTAAAGAGAGGGGTCTAACCATACATGTGCTTAAAAGCAACATCCTCGACTACCCTCAAACTGAACTTGTGAACGCCCGCATCTTTATAAGCGTTGGCCCTGTATATACTTCTTGTATTCCCGTCGACACTTCCGACGCTATTGCCCCCGAATACCGTCAAAGACCTAACCAGCTGGTTTGCATCGAAGTTGGATCGACTATTGAGTCCCATTGTCTCTGACTTCTGAATAAAGGCAATATTCACTGAAACGAGATTTTCTTGTTCAATTCCAATATGTGTGTTTCGTCGGCTTCAAGGCGGGCGTGTGGAATGATGAATAGAAGCTGAATGCTGATAAAATAGGAAGATAATCTTGGCAGTATTCTGCCGCGTATACCTAAGCCATCCACCCGAAAAATAGGATAGAGCTTGCTTCATCCACCCAATTTAAAAAAACGCAGTATTGCAACTCACCCAAAAGAGCCTCAGAATCTTCGGATTCCTGCTTGCCACCTTCCATTGCTAACGCGTCGAAAAGCCCAGACCAGACCGCCGAGTACATTTCCACAGTGAACCGGTAGGCCAAGTACTTGTGTAACCTCGCTCATGATTGGTGGGGCAAAAGAGTAATCAAGTTGAGAGGTCGTGTTTTTGTCTAACAAACCAAACACCTCCATCATGTTGGCGATCTGAACAGATGATAACCTCAACCGTATGCTAATCGTTTGCAAATATTAACGACAGGACAGATTTGGGAAATAATGAAGTGGACGAAGTAGGCAAAACTTACATTAAATTTAAAACTAACCAGCCAACGACATTCTGCAGATACCAAGCAAAGGATGTCATAAGTAAAGGACTATTTAAAAATAATCTATGCATTTGAATACTCCCTGAAATATTGCTGCTCCTTGGCGGATCTGCGTGAATTCAACTACCTAGGCTCAACTTCGCAACACTTAGAATGAATATAACCTTGTGGGTATAGGTGTAAAAAGGAAAAAGCAACAAGCTGGAAAGAGGGGTCGAGCGGAAGAATGTGACCACGACGCAACTAAACAGTTTGAAATGGACAACGTATAACAACAGTTGCAGCCCATATTGGTACATATCTCCATTCTGAGGGCCAAACCAAATGGGATAGACGCCATCAAGTTCCAGACTGAGGTATCGTTAATTTGGATTTTATCACGACTGGCCGATATTCCTGCAGGCTTTTGCAGTACACATGTCGTACGTAAACGACCTTATTGAAACAGTCGTACAAGGTGGCTGCATCCCCTAATTTTTTGGAGGACCACATTGCAATGGGACAACTATTTAAATTCCAGTCGTTGACTTTTCCGTATATGCGGGATGGACCGATCTGAATCAATGGGGATGAAGTTGTAAAACCCTAATTATCTGGACGAAATCTTGATGGGGATGGGCGGCGAGAGAAGCGAGGGCTCAAAACCTGGGCGAATCATTTCGACATGATTAATTTTCTACGTACCGTTCGGCGTTTAGTGCTAAATAAACATTCATATTTGCTCACCCCTAATTTTACCTTGATTAATTAAATCGACTGACAGTCCGTCCATCGTCAATGACGGCGTTTAGTACGTGGTCATCCTTATGGGCGCGGTGGCACCGACTTGGGGGTAGGTTACTTAACTTTGAGGCAGACAAACGCAGCTTCTACGTTGTTTTTATTTTGAAACAACTTAAAGTCTGCTGGGAGTGAACTTGGACTCAATGACTGTTACAAACTAAACTGCAAGCCTGCGAGTACCACATGGTCACGCTTTTTCTCTATATTTAGTGAGCTAATACACGTGTGGCTCGGATATCACATAAACAATAATTCAGTAATTCCGTATCATTCAGTATGTATGAGGGATAGAGGCAGAGCCTCTGAAAACCCTATTTACAGATAGACGTATGAGGAAAAACATGCAGATATTTACATAGAAGTTATGCTAGTCATTGATATCATGTACGTGTTTGATCATCAAGCATACATTTATCTAGTTTTCCTTTGAAGGTCTCAACGTTTTCCGCTAAGACAACGGAGTTCGGCAATTTGTTTCATCCCTCAACTAGCCGGTGGGAGAAGAATTTGGCCCACAATTCGATTTTGTTATATTTAGTCTACAATTTGTATTGGTGCCCTCGAAGATTTGTCGTCCGCGCCAGTTCAAAGAAATCGTCGATCCGAAGACCACAGTCTAGCCCTCGGACGATCCTGGAGGCCATGATCATATCCCCTCTGTATTGTCTATAAGAGAGAGGAAATATTTTTAGCTATTCCAGTCGTCTCCCATAAAGTAAGCTACTTAATCCGCCGACTAGCTTGGCCACTCTTCGTTGTACGTTCTCCAGTAGGGTGTAATTTTTTTGTCCAGGGACACCATGCCTAGACAATATTTCAAGATTGGTCGAACGTATGCTCCAAATACTCGGCCGAAAAGTTCTCCGTCAAAATTGAGGCAGGATCTTCTAATCGCGCCTAGGATACGCATAGCTTTCTTTGATACCTTGGAGTAGTGAGACGATGGTTTAAGAGTTGACGTCATCCACACACCAAGGTCGCTTAACTCGTTGACTGATTCGAGTTGGTGACCTCCTATAAAGTACTGAGATTCAAATCTCAACGACCTCCTGTTGCTCGAACGTAATCGGATAAGTTGGCATTTGTTTCGATTGAGTCTAAGACACCGCTCATAACACCATTTTTGAAAACTTTTCAAATTGTCTTCTAACTGTAGTGTCTTCCGGTCTCTCTATAAATTTCCACGGCTATGAAACAAGGCAAGCGGCAAGATCGTACAGGGCAAGAACGGCAGGAGCAAAATGCACGCTAACCTGATGATGGAAACGAGGAAGATTCGGAAATGTCAGTTCGAATGCAATATGGTCCATGAATTCGCCCTCCCTTATTCTTCGTCTTCTTCGGGGATGATGAAGGAAATACAATGTCTGGGCCTCAAATCTTTAGGCATATCGATCCACATTATGTGCGCACAGTCCTGCGCTCAGCACGCAGATGGGAGACCTTACCGAAGTTAGAGTCCTCCACCTACGCTCAGCTGAAATTCCTGCACAGTTGCCTTGATGAGGACGTCCTACCGAAATGCCTCAGATATCGACCGCCTGTGAACACTGACCTTTGCCGACGGACGATGGCAGACTTCAAGAAGAAAATAATCAGGGTATGAATACGAGACTGTCACGCTCGTACTCTCAAATACGCCAGATGATTGAACAGCATCCGTCAACTTGCCAGTCGATCTTTACGGCACACGAGCCGGGGATCCTCAAATCGGCAATTCTCGACAGTGCACGGCGTCACCCCAAGTTGCGCGATGACCAGCTGTCTGGAAAATTTGAGAAATTTTTCTCTAGAAAAATACGAACTCACAGAAAGACGCAGCATTCCATCCTCCGAGACGCTCTCGGAAATCCCATAGCTGATGCCCAGTTAACCGCTGATAGCTTCAATGATTTCCTGTCCAAAACGTTTATTGAAGACTCGACCACTCCGCTTCCGACCATCCAGCCATTGACCGGGGCAGTTCTAGAAACTATAAATTTCACTCTGTGGGATGTGACTGTTCCGATTCGGCGTTTTCGTCAATCTTATAGTCCAGGCCCTGCTAGTGTCCCAGTAAGCATTTTAAAAGCCGATGCAAGTACGATTTTCCCATCCCTCCTATGTCAGATATTTAATCTCGCTCTTGAAAGTGAAACTTTTTCTAACTTGTGCCCATTCCTAAGCACGGCAACTCTACATCATTTGATGACCTTCGGCCAATAAACACCCTCCCCGAGGTTTCCAAGATCTTAGAGACAGTAATCAAAGAATACATGGTGTGTCACTTAACAGAGCATAACCTACTGAGTGTTGCTCAGCACGGATTCCTCAAAGTTTGGTCTTGTGACACCTGTCAACTCTCTTTCTTTGACTATGTTCTCCAATCTAGAGACAATGGTTTTGCACTTTACACAGTATATTTCGATTTCACTAAGGCTGTTGACCGTGTTGACCATGCCATTCTTCTCTTGAAACTGTCCTTTTTTCGAAATAGGTGGCAAACTTTTAAATTTTATATCCTCTTACCTGGGCACTCGTACACAACGAGTTAAGATTTCCAATACCATATCCAACCCCACACGTGTGAGGAGTGGAGTCATTCAGGGCAGTGTACTCGGCCCGCTTTTATTTTGCTTTTTTGTTAACGGTGTACACATTGTATTTCAGAATGATAAGCCCTTCATGTATGCCGGTTATCTGAAAGCTGCTTATTAATATAAGCCAGCAGATCGTTATACCGTGCTTCAACTCCTTAAGAGCGACCTACAGGCCTTTGCCCAATGGTGCCACACGTGGCACCTTTCTCTTCCTTGACATAAATGCTCAGTCATGGTGGTTGGCGACGACCGCCAACCTCAACTAAGCATTGATGGTCATGTCATAAATGTGCCTGGGGTTATTAAGGATCCGGATGTATCATACTCCAGGAGCCTCAATCTCTCGGAGCACTGTGCCTTGGTAGTCTCCAAAGCACGTAGAACGACCTGGTTTATCCTGAAGGCCTGAAGGCTGGCATTAAATTAAATTATCATTATTCTAAAATATATAATTCCGCCAAAGCAGCCCTCTAATGACGTTGCCTTGGTTCACAACTTGTCCTCCCATCGTCTCACTCAGCAACAACTAACGGTTCTATCCTATGACGCTAAGTTCAGCACAAGAGATACTCGACCAGAAGACTTTATTGCATCCTTTGAATCGGCCCTACAGAAGTATGAAGCAGGAGTGCAGAGCAAAATCGCCATGCGATAACAAGTCTCGACCTTTCTCCTCCAACACAAACGCCAAATGACGATTTCTAAGGCATAAAATCGAAAACTTCAGAAAATACGAAAACAAGAGCATGTCATCGCCCTGCCCGCTGATAGGGGGTGCCCGACTGTCGTCATGGATAAGGCTGAGTACTGCACAGAAACCAGGCAACCTCTTGATGGACAAGAAAGCTTATGCGTCATCGACCGTCAGCGAGTGTAAAAAAGCCCGTAAGCAGCATAAACAATACGATTGGCAAGCTGAGGAGGGCGGGAGCTCCCACGAGAAGACAAGCGTTGGCCGTAAAAGCCACCGATGCCGCATTGGCTTGCTTCTACGTCCTACCAAATGTCCGCGAGCAGGGGGTGCCGCTACGTTCCGTCGTCTCTTTACGTGGTACTCCAAACTTTGGGCTGTCGCAGTGGCTGTTCCAGCGACTTTGGTTCCTTACGAAGGATTCAAAGTAAACAGTGAAGCCGGCTGAGGCGTTTTTGACGCGCATCAAAAATCTCGAAATAGAGCCAGATGAGATGGTGGCGCATCCTCCACTTCCGAAGCAACTACCCTGTTGGTCATGAACGCAGTTGTGTCAGAACTCTCTTTCAACGTGTTCAAACACACCGTAGCGGCCATTGTGGGGGAAGGAGGAGGTGAATTACTTACTGACCCTTTTTGAAGTCAGCGGCTACTCGAAGCCGTTTATACGGAAATGGGCGACTACTAGGGGTGAGGGTTGAAATTCGAGGGAGATTTGAACTATTATTAATGCGAAAGAGGAGTCAGAAACCTGCTTCTAGTCTTCGAACCCATAAAAATGTTAATTTAGTTATCTGGCATCTGTGTGAGTAGGAAATGTGTGGGTATGCCTTGCTTAAGAGTCTTCTGTAAAATGTTTTAAACATTTTCAATTTTTCAACGACTAGCCTCGTTCATCAAACCAAAGAATGGGCAACGATACTCGAGAATGGGAAGTTTAAAACTAATCTCTGGAGGATAGAACTTACGGAAAACAAAGCCACGAATCTAGGCAGCCTTGGCCGTAATTTTTTTAGCCTGTGGCAAGTGATCAAGATTATTGGTGTAGTTTAAACCTAAATCCTTGATGGTGGTACATTCAGCCATAAGTGTGCCTTGAAAGACCACCAGTTGGGGTAGCCTATCAGGTCCAAAACACAAATAACGACATTTAAACGGAGAGAATTTCATTAGTCATTTTGAGCTCCTCGCGGAAAGTGTAAGCAAGTCAGCATGGATTCGCTCCAGGCAAGGAAGGATCGAGATCATCAGCAGAAATAAAGGGTTAAGACTGTTTAATTGCCTAAGAGTTATTATTTTTCGAAAGCAGGAACAAAAGTGAACCTAAAACGGTATCTTGTAGGACACCACATATAATAGAGCTCTCGCTGGAAAATGAAGATCTCGCTAAAAGCTTTTATTTACGATTAGAGAAGTATGACTTGATATAACTCGATGGTTTTGAACATCCGACTGACAGCCAGATTTATATACTGGAATAATAATAGAAATTTTCTAATAATTAGGAAAGAAACCATTTTCGTGAAAAACTGAAAAAAGTTTGCCAAGCAGAGGAGGAAAACCTCTTAGCTGATTTATAATAGAGTTCAGGATGTTGTCACTGAGTGCGAGTTAGTTAGCTGTCTTATCAGTTTCTGAATACTTGCATGAGGAGGACTATTGGTTGTGTAGAAGGCATCAGACAACGGGAGAATTAAAGGGATTGGGTCAGTCTCAGAGGTGAAATGTCTGGCAAAGAATGAATTTAACATTTCTACTTTTCCTGACCCCTCTGTGATGAAGGTATTGTTGGTATTAAGCAAAGGCGGAATGACTTGGTGGGACTTACCTTGATTTAGAGGCATTCACACTATTAATGGCTAAAGACTCTCTACTCCTATCTCGCGCGAGCCTCAGTTTCGAAGCTAATTCAAATGCTTCAATGATTCTTATGTGAACTGCTAATGAGCTCACGGAAGGAACTTTAGGCTACTTCCATAGCTTTTTAAGTCTGTTTTTAAGAAACTGCGGGACAGGGGAGAAAGTGGCGCTCAATGTAAATGTTTTCCGAGTAATAAGGTCGATAAGACATTGTGTTACGCACTGTAATATATTTTTGAAAAAAAAATTAGATCATTATTTAAAAAAATATATTGTGATAATCCAGAGTGCTTGTAAAATTGAGGAAGGCTGCTGACATGGATAACGGATTTTCTTAGCGGGAGATCACAAACCGTGTGCCTTGAGGCCTCAAGGTCAACCCCTACCTCCGTTCTAAGTGGTGTACCCCAGGGCTCCGTCTTAGGGCCGTTGCTATTCCTGATTTACATTAACGACTGCGTCGACGACCTGGGATTCAGCGCCATCATGTTTGCTGACGATGTTAAGCTGTGGAGACCCATCAGATCTGACGCAGACAGGTACGCGCTTCAAGACAGTCTCAACCGTCTGAAGAGTTGGTCAGCTCGTTGGCTCCTTAATTTTAATGTGGACAAATGTGTGGTCCTGAGACTCCGTACCAAAAAGACCAGTAAGGAGGACGATTCCTTTCAATACGTCCTTGGTGGTCAGCCCCTTTCAAATGTTGTGGGACAGAAAGACCTGGGCGTCCTAATGACCTCCTCGCTGAAACCATCATCACAGTGTCAAAGGGCAGCCAAAAGTGCGATAACGATGTTATTTGCGCTGAGGCGAGGATTTGTGCCGATCGATAAAGAGCTATTCGGGAAAACCTATGGGGCATTCGTCCGGTCTCACTTAGAGTACGCAGTCCAGGCCTGGCGACCGTGGTTGAAGAAAGATTATCGACGACTGGAAAGGGTACAGGCGATGGCTACGAAGATGGTCAAGAATCTTCATCATCTGCCTTACGAAACCAGGCTGACCGAACTAAATCTGTTTCCTCTGAAGTACAAGCAACTGCGCGGCGATCTCATTAAAACCTACAGGATTGTCAGAGGTCGTGAGTGTGCCCTAGACTTTGATGAATTCTTCGAATTGGCCGGTACTGGCCGCCTGCGTGGTCATCCCTTCAAGCTGCGGAGGAAGCTGGCCCATTCGGACGTCCGACGGAACGCGTTCTCTCACAGGGTCATTGGGGCATGGAACGGACTCCAAGATGTAGTGGTTCTTTCCGAAAGTATCGATTCCTTCAAATGTAGACTAGATGCTCATTTGTTGAGAAACTACTGTACATACAATAACGATTGTTTTAGCGGCGGCAGTTTGCGCCTGGCTCACACTTACCGCTAATTTTTTGACTTTCCACATTTGCTGGTGTAATTGATGACTTTATTTCTGTTTATCGATATGAATAGGGAGCTCAAGGGCAAAAGCCTCATTCCCTTAATAAACTGACTTAAACTGACTTAATCCAACACATCCACCATGTCCAGTACTACCCTCGCTTTATCGCCCTGCGCGCCCACCACCACCACCACCATCACCACCACCACCACCACCACCACCACCATCACCACCACCACCACCACCACCACCTCTGTGGCTGACACCGACACCGCCGACTTTTCATGCCCACACTGTCCACGCACATTCACCTCACGCATCGGCCTGATCGGTCACTTGCGTATCCATCGCACTGAGACTGGCGAACCAGTGCCTGGAGCACCAACCTATACTCACCAAGCCCGTCTCAACTGCCCACACTGCCCTCGCACTTTCAGGCACTGCATGGGCCTATTCGGCCACATGCGCATCCACGGCGACCTGCGGTAGACTACCGCCGGTTACACCATACCACAACACCCGCCCTGCATCCACCACCCCATCGCACACCAAAACTCACCCACCGCAAGCACCCAACTGCCACCTCCCACGCAAGTGGTAAATGTGCACCTCGACTCGGTTCCGAGTCTATCCCGACACGTTAAGCGTTGTGGATAGGAAGGTTGCTGATTTACGTCCCACTCTGTCCACGCAGTTTGTCGTGCTGTGTGTGTGTTGTGTAGAGTGGCGGACTGGTGGGCCGGGGACGGCCTGAAGCAGCACCTTCCACGGCCCTCTCACGTAAGTGAGAGACACGCCGTTCAACCCACGTTGTGTGAAATCCTGGTGTTTGTGTTGGGGGGCCAGGTCAAGCTCGTGGCGCGCGCAGTCATGGTCAGTCGACCGTGCCAGCCACCGCCCCCATTTCCCACTTCAGTCTGCTGACCGGCTCGGCTGGGCGGTCGTGCCAGCCTCCAATCTCTGTTGTTTTAGTCAAAATCCTGGTCCTTTGTGTGTGGACCAGGGGCTGTGGTAGAACGCCAAGGTTAGGATCCGTCCGAGACATCCACCTGCTGCTTCCCTCGTCTCCGGTCTTCTTGACGCTGTCTTAACATCGGGCTCAGGTGGGGGAGGAGGAGAGTGTGTAGGTAGACGCAGCGAAAGTCTACTGGCACTATAAACCCCTGCGCAAGTCACCGTCCCTGCTTCCACCGCTGCCGCAGCTGTGGGGCACATGGTGGACATCGTCGAAATGTCGTCGAACTGTCGTCGTGTGTGTGTGTGTGTGTGTGTGTGTGTGTGGCGCAATCTGACGGGCTATTCTTAGACTCGTTAGCATGCCTTCCTGATCTCGGCATTCTTTGGCTGACCGGTTAGGACGGTGGGTTTGTGCATGCGAAAGTAAAGATAAAGTATGTTCGACTCTCAGTGGATGCTCCTCACTATAAACAATATGACGCGCCTGAGAGCGTTACGTGTCCTAAATGCCCGTGCTTGGAAGGCTGCCGAGTGAAACGACAACTAGTTCCTCCTCCGAGGACTGAGATTCAGTCTGCAACGGTTTCTCTTTAATGCGGCATATATGACCGTTTCGCACATGTCAGATTCCAGTTGCTCACTCAATTTGTGTGAATACACAGTGTTATTTGCGAGAGACAGGTCGTGTGTGGTGCATGGGGACGGCTATTTAGGTTTGTTAACCACTTGCGCCACATCCCTGCATCAGAAGGCTGATCGGTTTGGAAGGAAGATTAGTGCATGGGAGAGGGAAGAGCGAATTAAGTCGTCAAGGGGAACTTTGTCCCTACTACTATTGGGCTCATTTCTTCACTATAAATATTCAAACGAACGTTTAAACTATAACGATGCGCCAGAAGTGGTTGCCTAAAAGATCACCAACTGGCGGGGTTTGACTCAGTTCTGTTCTCAAGACGGAAAAATGATGCTGGAATGTTTCCACATGCATGTGGCCTATACAGCTTCTCAAATCAGATGGCATCCCAGGTGTTCCAGATCCAAGCGGACCGGGCGTGTGTGGTACGCATAAATCGGCTCTTTAGCCTGGCCAACTGCCGCGTATGATCGCGCCTCCGTCATCCTGACTCCCCTTTGCAACCAGGTCCAAGTGGGTAAGGAAGGAGATAGTGCGGTAAACGCTGCATACGCCCACTACCATCATGACCAATATCACGCGCAACTTATCGTCCCTGTGACCACCATGATGCAGCAAATCTGCCAAAGCCGTTGAAGGTAGAGTACGTTTGGTTACATGCAGTCCTGGTGACAACTCTAGGCTTAGAACGAGCTGAAAAGGTTAGTAGATATGTCATCAGTCTTGTCCAATCGACATGGTGGAACAAAACTCGCATTGGCATAAAATATGTAGTAGGAACGAAGGGCTAATAATATCGGAGAACAACAAATGATACAACTATGGCAAGCCTCCTGAAAAACACGAAGGAACTGTGCGACCACCCCTTTACAGCTGACCAGATAGACTGACAACCAGCAACCAGAAAACGCCCAAATTTGCCAACTCGAAAATAATTTCAAGGTCAGGCCGATATCAAAGTTCTTCAATTTCCACGAAGGACACATTATTCATGCTCACAAAAACAACCAAACTGAACACTTAAATTTTATATTGTACATATCGTTCTTTCTTAATACTTTTGCGATTATTTTGCCCTGGAAGCCAGGTTTATTTTAACTGAAAACAAACTCTCAGTTCGCGCTCTATTGACTAAACAGACATCCAAAACAAATGAAGTCAAAGTGCTTTCAAAATATATGAGTTTGTTTTGGGTTATTTCCTAAGTTCAAAGAGGACTGACAGTGCCAAGGGGCGCAATAATAAACATATTCATATTCATACAAGGAAGGGCTAGGATTACACGAGGGGATAGTCCGTCCGGATGGGGAGATGACGCCGACATATCAACTAAACAACCGATGGGGACGCAGCGCTGTGGACATGTGCGGGAGAGAGCCGTGAAGGGTGCCGACGTTGAGAATGAGCGAGACGAACGTTGAGGAAAGGGAGTCGTCGATTGTGTCGGGAAGGGCACCGGCCGTTTTCATCGTCACGCCGTCACATCATTTCAACCATGGACCCGCGCTAAAAGTATTCACACCACTTAGATTACCAGTCCAACTCGTGGAACAGTACAACAAGATACATGGTGAGAACTGCTGCTCGCGATTACCGAACTGACGCCGCTTCATTCAATGTAGCTCGCCGCCCACTACCTGCGGAACCGTGTGATTGTAAGGTTTAAGAGCGTTGTCTTCTGAGGCAGTCAGATGCATAGTAATAGAGTACAGACACTATCTCTCATTTGTTAGGAAGCAGGGGTAATCGTGAAGAAAGTAAACGTACTACGAGGGGGACAGCGGTTGACTCGCACACCTGGTATGGCGTAGTATGTCCACCCTACTGGCAATTAGGTCTGAAGGTTACATGCGAGAAAGGAAATAATCAGACTAGTTAAAAAACTCCGAATATACTATCTGGTCGCTCCTCGCGCTTCAGCAGGAAAGTTTTACGGATATATTACTTTTTTCCAGGTCTGATTAACCTATTTGCTGTGGCTTCTTCAACGCGGAATCGTTGCCTAGTTACACATGCTTTTCATCGTGTTGCATAGTGCCCCATGAGAAGTAGGGCCCTGTGCTATTTATTCGAAAGCCTGAATTTGCAGCCATTGTGTGAATTATCGGGTTGTAGTTTTATTTTACTCCTTTGTCTAAAAATCTGCCGCAAATATGTGGATATAACACGCAATAGGTACTTCAACGAACCGAGGAAAATTTGGAGGGGAAGCCGAGAGAATAAGCCTGAGGTCTCATAATGTTCGACGTCATTTATAGTAGGTGTTTACTTCAGAAGATTTGACGACTGCCTCACTCATTCGCACACCGAAACTGACCAAGGATGTGACATACGTTGATGATTAATAAAGACTCGTCTCATATGAGAGTCCGGCATTTTTAGCTAGTTAGGTGGGTTGCTCGGGCAACTAATGTGTTGAATGCCTTTACAAGATGCTCGAGCCGTTCAGTACTCCCGCAATTTATCCACCGGCTGCAGCGTACAGTGATGTTCCTCCACAATGCAACCCTCAGATATATGAAAATGAGACAAGCACAGGGTGCTTATATCCTTCCAACAGTGTACGTACCGGAGCTCAAAATAGAAAAGGCGAGTGTGTTTATCAAGCTTTCAAGTACTCCGAAGGAAAGTTCGAAGAACCGTGCACAGGTAGGAGCCATCACGAACACAAGGGGGATGTCAACAACAATCAACGAAGGGGACTGCAATGAAAAATGAATACGCAGTACAGTCAGAACCGATCTGACTTTTGTCACGTTCAGACCATTCTGCTGGAGTTCCTTTAAAATGTTAAATGAAACGTCCAAGGGTTACTGGTTTTTTCATCTGCAAATCCCAGTCTGCTATTACTGCGCATTCACTGATTATTTGAATGCTTAATGTTGATCCTACGAACTTTAAAATCACACGATAATCCTTTAGGGTTCTTGTGCGCGTGTGCCCAGTCGCATTGAGTCACAGCAGAAATTTGTAGATTCACTTGTCATGTTCTCGCGTTTTATTAACATTCTCAAAACACACCCGAAAAAATCTATACTGCTAGTGTCAGTGTCTGCAGGTTGCGCAAACTATGTTAGCAAGAAATACAGGTTAATTGTTTTTACATGAGGACATTTATAATATTAGTGAAGAACTCTTAAGACGCTCGCGGTGCTCCAGTTTATCGGTTCGTGGTGTCATACTTACTCATGTAGCTACCAGGACTTAGGTCGTGAAAGACTTCCGAAGAGTAATTCCCTTTACAGAGTAACAGTCTTTCTGAATCCTTTCGCCTACCAGAGGCAAGTTAATCGTTAATGTAATGGCTATAGACGACTGCTGGAGAACTTTGACCGGAATGCTGGGCCGCTCTTGCACATGGCCGGTCTTGACGTGCAGATGGTTTATCTCGATGATGATAACGAAGCGAAAGACTACCTTAATGTCATAGATCCTTCAAGCACAGACGCCATCGTGGTTGCCGGGGATGATGGCTTGCTGGCCAAAGTAGACCAATTTTATTTATTGTCCACCTATTCAGTCTATCACTGGTCTGCTGCGCAGACAGGATTTCATGGTAAATGAATCCTTTGTATTCTATTTAGAAGTCTACACGCCTGTGGGATATCCCGGTATACGTTCTACCTCTAGGTATTTGGAATAATTTCGCAGCGAGGTTTACATATGACTCTAACTTGGTCAAGTAAGTTTCCCTCTAACCTCTGACATCCTTTGGCTAGTTGGTGTTTCAAAATGGTCGAACCCATTATCTATAAGCGGTCGGGAAGACGGAACGTCATCGAGATAAGTCCTATCAACCAAAGCAAAGATGGATACCAGCAGCCCGACTCAGCTACGGTAACAGAGGTTAGATTACTTTCGGCAGCTCACCTACTTTTTATTTCATTGTATTTTTCCACTTTTCTGTCCAGATTTGTCAATACTCGTGAGCTTTATCTAGTTTAAACTCCATGTTTGAACTCCTCGCTATAAACGTCTCAGCATATTTTTGTCTGATGCATTACGAATTGTGTAGCAAAAGCGTTCACACCCAGACTTTCATATTCTACTTTCACCCAATGGCCTCGTTGACAGTGGAGTCAGAGCTGCGGCTGTTACGGCTTTCTTTGCTTCCCAGTTTCGTTGGGATCGGGCAAGATGCGTATCAAAGTCGCGAATAAGCGAAACCAGTCATTACAGCGTCACCTTTGCCCCATACGCGGTAACTTTTCAATAAGAGCGATAAGTTGTACCTGTTCTATTCTAGATGGCTAGATTTCATGCCACAGGCTATCGTTCACGGCGCCACTAACAGTTTCGGACATTAGAGCCCGCTTTCATCGGAAGTCCGTCTACCTGCAATCCGCCGAACGACTACAGACCATATATAGTAGGAGCCGTCCAAGTTGTCACCGTTCTGCCCCCCTTTCGTATGAAGTTGATTGGTTGGCGTGCTGGGAGACCGGTCCAAGCAGATTGCGCTGTACTTTTAGCACTTTTGCTCACGAGAGCTTATACAAGCGTAGTCGAGTTATCGGTTACTTACTTCTACTTGGTACGTCTGCGATAATGTCCGATTGGCTCGGCCTTGATGATGTCACGGACTGTAATTCTCCACGCGTGACGACCCGGGGCAGCAGATCTGAACAGCTCAACCCATTCTCTTCGCCAGCGACGGAGGCCAAATGCCGAAGGCTTGAGAACTACTTCCACGTTGTGCCGGGCTGTGTTGAGCCAGGTTTTGATTTGACCTCCTCTTCGACGCCCCAAGTAGGTAACGGTACCGAGTCGAGGGCAGCAACACTAAGCTCGTGAGCTGGACGACGAACAACGTGTCCAAACCACCTCAGTCGTCTTCCTTGAATGACCTGAGAGATCCTTGCGATATTGTCGCAGCGAGTGCGCACTGCCTCATTGGAGACGAGGTCGGTGTACTTTACTCGAAGTACTGTTCTCAAGCAATGGTGTCCAAATACCTGCAGTTTTCGCTCATCTTCCACGCGCACAGCCCGGCATTCACAACCGTACAGAAGGGTTGGCTGGACGGATGCACGGTACACGAGCATCTTCGTGGCGACGGAGATGTCGCGTCGGGTCTAGAGACACTTTCGAAGGCTTGAGAAAACCCGTCGGTCAGTGTCTATTTAGCAGCAGTCTCACCCGAGATATATGCAACTGTCAATATCTTCAAGTTAACAGCCACTACTCTCGAGAGGTGCCTTCTGGTCAGGGATGCAGATTGAAAACACTTGTTTTTTTTCAGGCTTTATGGATAAACCGGCGGACTTAGCGACCACATTCACCCGTGACACCATAGACTGTAGATGGCCAAGGCTTGAAGCCAGTAAGGCGATATCGTTAGCATAGTCGAGATCGGTCAGCCGGCGGGCAGATGCGAACACAGCACCGTCAAAAGCTTGCAGAGGCCTTCGGACAATCTAGCCAATAGCGAAGTTGGACAGAATGGGCGACAGGATATAATCTTGCCGATCGTCAGACCGAATATCGAACGGGTTGGAGAGATTGCAATGGACTAGAACTGGCGCGGTGGTTAGACAGTAGTAGACCTTGATCGTGGCAATGATTTTTGGCGGTACATCATCTGGTGCTATTATCCGCTACAGGGACTCACGATAGACGGAATTAAACGTGGCGACAAAGCCAACAAAGCAGACACCCGTCTGTTATTGTAAACTATGAAGGATCTCAAGGATGCGCCTCAGGGTGAATATATGGTCAGAACATCCGCGCTCAGCTCGGAATCCGACCTGGTTAGGCCTCGTTCTGCAGTCACGTGCAGCCTGGAATGGCCTAAGAAGGACAACAGCAAAGACCTTCCCGACAACATTGGTGGGGATTATACCGCGGTAGTTCTCGAATTTCGTCTTATTACCCTTCTTGAAGACAAACACAAGGATACCCGAGCCCCAGTCGTCAGGAACAACTGTATCTCCACGCTTGTTCAATCATCTCATGAAGCCAGGGCGTCAGAATGTCGACACAAGACTTGTAGATTTCAGCGGATATACCATCCTGTCCGGGTGCTTTGTTGTTACGCGGCCTCTGTACTGCGTCAACGACTTATTTTTAAGAAGGGGGGTCGTATGGCGATGCATAGGTTAGAGAAAGATAAAACTGCTGCAGATGGTAAAGGTGTGATTGGTTTGCTCATCAAGGTTGAAGTGCTCACGCCAGCGATCGACCTAGTTTGAAGTACCTGCAATAAAGCCACTGTTCGTATCGCGAACACTCACTCAGTGTCGAGGGATTGCCACTAACTTGGCCCATAATTTGGTACAGTTTTCGAACGTCATCAACGTTTGGGGCCTGCTTTACGCAGGCCGCTCTTTCAGCCCAATATTTATTCCGGTCATCCCCAGCTGGTTTTGCCGTAGCCTCCTGAAGTTTGCTGATTGAATTATCATTACGGGACTTGGCTCGAGCAGTTTGAGCAGACGACTACAAGGTTCTTCGGCTGATCCAGTCACCGCGGCGTCCCTGGGTGTATTTATCTCAGCTGCCGCATAGACCGATAAAGTTGATGATGACCACCGTCTACTGCCTTTTCCGTCGAGTCAGGTCGTAAAACAGGACCGGATTTATCTGCCTAGAACCTCGGTAGTGCTGGGCTGTCGTAATTTGGGGACATCAAGGCGTTTTGGGCGCGAATGAAGGGTGAACTTTCGAGCAAATGTGAACGAGAACACCGGCAGACCCATGGGCATTACCGGTTTCGACACCGCGCATCGATCTGCCATCGTGAATCCAGTCAAGAAACCTTGGACTGCCTAGAATGTAACCGATCTGACTGGCCGAATGATCGTCGTTTGAGTACCAGGTTAGCAGGTTTGTGGCTATGCAGAGAGCACGTTCTTGTGACAAATAGTCGGTTCTGGTCAGCCAAGCTTAGGAATCACCATTGCCGCATCACGAACCAAGCCCAAAGCGGTCAATAAGGTGACTGCTGGAAGAAACAACAGGTCCAGTTCGGTCCCCGGCAAGAACCGACAGATCACGGTAAGGGAGTCTTTCAGCTGATGCTTGCAACTGCGAGTAAGAAATACCTTAATCGCGCTGTTTGGCAGCCAACGTTGATGCGTTCACGGAGGCGACAGTGATGTTTGTAGGGTGACCCTTTAGTCGCACATAGGCCATCCGGTCATTGACTGCTTCCTAAGCAAGTAGTGCATAATCCGCTTGTTGCGAGAGAGCAATTACTACACCGTGTCTATCAGAAGAGTCGTCTGAGTCGCCGTGACCCCGGGTGGGACGTGAGTTGACTTGCGTGATCTTTATTTCCCTAGCGCCTGAGTAGGGGATTCTGACTTAGGTCAGGCAACAGACATCCACATTGCACTGACGAGGACTGCGCCGTCAGATTTTGGGTACTAGGGTCCAGAAGCATTCGCTTTCATGCGCTCTAGCCTTTCCAAGAAACATGATCGTCATGGATGGAAGGGGAAATTAATTTCGTAGGAACCAATCAAAAAAGATAAACTTAGGTCTCTGATAAGAGTGGTTTGTTTGACTGAAGTTATTTAAGTGTTTTCTTTCCCAAAGTTAGAACCTCATTTGTCGTCGCTGTCTTTCCTCCCTAGTTCTGGCTTCCAATGTCTCTTCAGCTTCTCTTCTCTTTGCTGAGAAATCATCGAACCAATCATATGGCAGTAATTTTTAGAGCTTCTTTGAGCTAGTAGATTATAATTTGGGTCTCTCGGAAAGTAGATGCGTTTCTACTTCTGTTTAGTGTGGACTTGTAGAATACATGGCAGAAAGGTCCACAATGAATGGGGGTGGAAAAAATATTTAAACTGGACTGGTGGTCTGACAGATGATTCTGATTTCTCCAGGTGCATGAGTTTAGAGTAGATTTCCCTCCAAGAATGCATTTTGCTAGCGAAGCTGGGTAAGGCCTGATTAATTCTCGAAAATATGGACCCTAACCGTGACGTCATCCATTTGTCGGCATCAGACTAGTACGCTTAATTCCTCGCCAGGGAGGTTGTAGCGTTCCCGTCGCCTGATTAGTGTGATTTATTATTATGCTATATGCAGTTCCAAATTCTCAGTGTGCTTGTAGCAGTCACGCCAGCTTAGAACACGTAAGCCATTTTTATACTGATTATTACGCCTGGGACAAGTAATCATATGTTTTATTGTTCATCCGTTCGTCCCTTCTCATCAGCCGTTTTCGTTTTCTCTCCTTGAAAGGTCGATGCTGAAGCTAAGAAACAATCCACTGACCACGACAAAAGCACGTCGAAGAGCGTATTCGCAATGAGCGGCATGGAGTGGAGTTGCTGGCGCGATGTGGAATA